ATACATGCCCCGACGGAGAATCAAACCTGAGCCTTTTGGCATACGGGACAACGCTCCAACCAGCTCAGCCACCTGGCCAGGGCAGATAAGAAGTTTCTTTTTGGAGATGATGAAATGTTCTAAAATTAGGTTATAGCAATGAAATTAGATTGTGCAACCTTGTAAATACAGTAAAAGCACTGAAGTATACGCTTTCAGAGGGTGAGCTTTATGTATATTATCTCAATACAGCAAGAAAAAAAGGAGAGGCAATAAAGGCTGAGAAGACCTATGACACGGTACATGCCTATGGCACATGCCTGTGGCACCCTCCAGGGGAACAGAACCTGATCTGCCCCCAAAGCGGCCTAGGATGAGGCTGTCTGGGAAAGGCAGGGGCTCTGTGTCCTGGCACGGAGTCCAGGACAGCACCTGCTGAACAGCACTACAGCATGGCTCTGAAATGCAAAGGAGGGGCCCTGGCCAGATAGGTCAGTCGGTTAGAGCATAATCCCCACATGCCAAGGTTGCAGGTTTGATCCCCACAGTCAGGCCACATACAAGAATCAACCAGCGAATGCATAAATAAGCGGACAACAAATTGATGTTTCTCTTTCTCTCTCTCTCAAAGTTAATAAGTAAAAATTAAAATAAAAAGGAAATTCTAGCCCTGCTGGGCGTGGCTCAGTGGTTGAGCATCAACCTGGGATCCAGGAGATTGGGGTTTGATTAATCAATCATGCCTATATAGTGAAGCCTCCATCAAAACCCAAAAACACGAGTTGAGAGAGCTTCGGAGCAGGTGAACATGTGGAGGTTTGGGGACAACGACGACCTGGGGAGGGTGTGGAAGCTCCGCCCCTTCCCCATCTCTAGCCCTGCGCATCTATTTGTTTCTGAGTCAGATCCTTTTATTTTTTATTTTATTATGCTAGTAATGCATAAGGAATTTTTTTTTAAACCTACATTTATATTAAAAAACTTACAAAATTTTTTTCTAGAGGGAAGTACATTGTATACCACAACTGTTCATTAATCTTATTTGCTGAAATTATCTTACGTAAATCAACCTCAAAGAGTGATTTAGTAAATAAAAGTTTTGGACATAAAAAGTATATGTATATTTTAAAAAGCAAAGCGGGGAAACCCATTGGGTTGGATAAAAAGTAAGATGACAGGTGGGGAGCCAACAGTTTACAGCAGCCAACAGTCTGCACCGTGACGACAGGGTCTGTGGCTCCGCGAGGCGCCTGCGCTCCGGGGGCCGCGGAGAGGGCGAGGACTCGGTGTCTCACAGCTCGGGCCGCCGGGCGTGCACCCTCCACGAAGGGCCGCCGGGCGGCTGGGCGGCGGCTCGGCTGGGGAGGCGTCTAACCGAGGGGCCGGCCACCCGCCCTCAGCTCCCCGCTCAGTTCACTTCGGACCAGCCCGCCTGGCTCCCTGGGGTCTGCGCGCGGCCCCTGTCCGTCCACGCGGGGACGCTCCGCGCAGGCCGGGGGGTCACGGCCCCGACGCGTTACCCGAGCGACGCCGCGATCCCCACGGAAGCACCGAGTCATGCTGACCAGCGGCGCGGCTACAGCGCAGGGAAGCTGCTGCCCGCGAGGCAGAGGCGGGACGGGCGAGCGCCAGCGAGGAGCCACTGCGGCTATGGCCGAAAGGCGGAGATAAAGGGAAGTGGAGGCGGTCCCAGGAGCACCGGCTCCCGGTCGCGCTCCGGTCCGACGCGGGCGCCCACG